TGCTTCACAAAGTTATTGGCCTGTTTTCTCTTAATTTATGTGCTTTCCTTGCTCGATGATGTTGCTAGCTACTTCTCTGACGTCCAATCTACCAATTTATTACCATGGTTGAACTTAGAGTCGAAACCGACCCAAACTGAACCAACCCGACTCAAATCGACCAGGTTGGTTTTGCTTAACACAGGGTCGGTTTCGATTTCAATTTCAGATAACCCGACCAGGTCGGATCGGTTGGAAAAATCTCAATAAACCGACCCAACCCGACCTGTGAACAACCCTATCTTAAGTTAATTTGATGGGTTGTTTATTAGTGTGGCTATTTATTTTAATAAACGTTATTTATTTATTTATTTTTTATCTTAAAAAACAAGAGAAGTTTCCACCAATGCCTATGTGATGCTGACCTAGCACTATTTTTTCAAATAAACAGTCACATGACCAAACACTATTTAGGTTGCAAGCTGAATGATCTTATTGACTGGATCGACAACATCGTAAAAACACTGGTTGGGTCAAGAATGGTTCTTGCCTGTTGGAACGGGTGGCCGTAGGCCCTTGATTTGGAATCCTCAATGTGTAGGAGAATCCACTAGCCATGTGAAAAGTCACATGTTGATGGAGTAGCTTAATAATATCATCCCTGTGAACACACTACAACACACACCTATTACAGTTTTTATTATATGTTATTATTTATTTTTTAGTAAAAATAAATTTATTTTCTATAAACTGTTTTTGATTTGTTCACACGGGTAGAACAATATTAATGTTGGTGAAGTTTATCATTGGTAACGGCTCTTATTTCCTCTTTCATAGGAGAGACATTGTGACAATTACCTATAAAAGGGAAAGAGTAGAAGTCTCAAATGCACCGACTGAATATCCTCTTTATTGGAAGGCTACCAAAACCTCCAAGAAGTTCAGAATTCTCTTTTTCAGACGCCAGAAGAAAGAAAAAGGCAGATTGGACAGTTCTCTATTTTCAGACGCCAAGGGAGAGAAAAAGTCAGGTTCAACATTGATTCTTCTCCAAACGTTTTTCTTCACCTACGTCATTACTTCACTTCATCACCCGGCATACAAAGTTTTTTTTCTCCTTTTAACATCTATTAGTGAGCCATTTTTGAATACGACGAAGAGCATAATACACTAGAAATTCAAGCTCTCGCATCTCCAAATTGCAGCATCAGAAAAGCATCTCCAAATCATTTTTCGGTTTCGTCTTTCATTCCTTACACTATCTTTGATTTGAGGAGCTACGGTGATCAAAACGCCCAAAGGTTTGAGATCTCTATTACAAAGATCTATCCGGGTATTTTCTAAACTTTTTTTTATTTAGGGTTCCAGCCCTTTGAGAAAACATTCAGGTAGTATTTAATAATTTTTTTAATTAATAACCTGAATTCTTGTTGCTTGGTATGATTGATATCTTTACCGAAGCCTATTATGTGCTATTGTATGCTAAGCATTTATTTTGTGCTTCTACAAATTTCTTTGCTTTATCTTGGGTAAAATATTAATATTGTTCTTATAGAGCAAAATTTAATAGAGCTGATTTCTTTTTAGGATTCTTAGTTAACTGTTAATCATAGTTACATTTCACCATTTTTTTTTTACTGAAAATAGCTTCTTGCTCATATCAGCTTGCCATTACACTATAAATTTCATTTTATTTTTGCTTGTAGCTTCCTTGTTTATTCATAGTCATAATGATTTGATCTGCAATAGCAAATGAATTAAGCAAAACCGAAAAACTTAACGGCAGTAACTTTCCTCTCTAGAAACGTTGGATCAGACTTATACTAGATCAAGAAGATGTTGAATACATATTAGAACAAGATGTTCCCTCTGTTCCTGGTGATGATGCATCATTGGCTGTTAGAAAAGCCTGTCAGAAATACCTAAAAGATAATAAAACAACCCATTCTTGCTTGTTAACTTTTATGGAACCAGACGTTGAAGTCTTGTTTGAAAAATATAGGAATGCTAAACAATTATTTGATGCAGTTAAGGAAACTTATGGAAAGGTAATTGAATCCTATGTTCAAGTGTTAATAGAAAAATATTATGCTTATAAGATGAAAGATGGAGATTCAGTGATAGATTATATTAATAAGATGAATGTTATTGCAAAAAAATTAACAGTAACTGAGAATCCTATCCCCAAAAAAATTCAGGTGTCTACTATATTGCATAGTCTTCCAGACTCTTGGGAAAATGTGGTTGTTGCCTTAAATCTTTTTAGAAGAGACATTAATATGAAAAACCTACTAACCTTGCTAGGCCTGGAAGCTGAACGAAAGAGCAAAAAGGCTTAATCATCATCATTGATAGTTGCCACTAATCCAAATGAAACTAACAAAACTACTGAAAAAACTGAGAACCATAAAGGTAAAGGAAAGAATTATCATAATAAACCTAATTTTTCAAAGAAGTTCAAGAAACTAAAGGCAAATGTTTTATTTGTGGGAAAACATGCCATACCAAATATAATTGTTATCAAAACAAGAAGAATAAAGATAAGAATCATAATAAATCAGCAAAGAAAAATATCATTTGTGTGGTTTCTGAATCATTACTTACTGATATTGATTATGTTGATTGGTGCATCGATTCAGGTTCTTCTTGCCATGTATGCAAATCCAATGAACTATTTATGGAAATGAAGGACATGAAGCCTGACGAACATAGGATCTTCATGGGAAACAATACCTATTGTGATGTACTAGGTGTTGGGAAAGTGAAAATAGTCATCAATGAAAATACAAATATGATCTTAAATGATGTAATGTATGTGCCTAGTGTTAGGTAGAATCTTTTGTCTGTACCCCTCTTGGATGAAAAGGGTTTTAAGGTTCGTTTTAGAGGAGGAAAAGTGTCAATTGAAAAATATGGGAGAGTTCTATTGTTTGGAACTAAATCTGATGGTTTGTATCATTTATCTATTAATAAAGTGAATGTCTCTTCTGCTTATTTTGATTGTGTGTATAATGTGGATGAAAATGTCTATATATGCCACATGAGACTTTGTCATATTAATAAAGACAAAATGATGAGGAAGTATTCAAGTGGCTTAATACCTAAGATGGAAATTAACTTTAAATACTGTAAACCATGTCTTGGTGGAAAAATTATCTAGATTATCATTTAGTAAAGGAAGAAAATAAGAAGAATTGTTAGATATTGTGCAGTTAGATGTTTGTGGTCCACTAAATGTCAAGACACACAAGGGAATGAAATACTTTGTGACCTTTATTGATGATAGCTTTAAATTTGGATATGTTTATTTGATTAAAAGAACATCTGAGGCATTAGAAAAATTTAAAGAATACAAGTTAGAAGTAAAAAACTAATTAAAAAGAAAAATGAAGATATTAAGAAGTGATAGAGGTGGTGAGTATATATCTAATCTATTTAATGATTTTTGTATACAAAATGGAACAAAACATCAATTAACCATGAGTTATACTCCACAACAAAATGGAGTTGTCGAACGTAAGAATAAAACTCTACTTGACATGGTAAGGTCAATGTTGTCACACTCCAATCTAGGAACACTTTTATGGGGTGAAGCATTAACTACAACAATTTATATTCTTAACAAAATACCAACTAAAGTGAGTAAATTGACACATCATGAAATTTGGACTGATAGAAAACCAGACCCATATAATAATAAAATTTGGAGTTCTAGTGCCTATGTTAGAATTCCTAGTCAACTAAGAAACAAACTAGATAACAAAAGCATAAGATACACTTTTATAGGATATTCAGAAAACAACAAAGGTTACAAATTCATAAATCATAAATCTGATGGATCTATTGAATTCATAAAAAGTTGGGATGTTGTGTTCTTAGAGAACCAAATAAAAGATGAAAACGATAGTGTCTTGACTCAATTATTTGAAATAGAAAAGGAAGACGTACAAAAAGAAACATATACAACAAATAAATCACCTAAGAATGATACATTAGGAAAAAATCAAAGAGAAAGGTTTCCCTCTTCCAAATTGAAAGATTATTATACCTTTTTAAATGAAGAACCATTAGATGATCCAATAAGCTATTCGGAGGCTATGGATGCACCCGATAAAGAAAAATGGAAAGAAGCCATAAATGAAGAACTAAATTCAATAAATAAAAATCAAGTGTGGGAATTGGTAGATTTGTCTAGTAATAGAAGACCAATTGGAAGCAAATGGATCTTCAAAAAGAAATTAAAAGCAGATGGTTCTATAGAAAAATACAAGACTAGGCTTGTAGCAAAGGGATATACACAAGTTGAAGGTATAGATTATGAAGAAACTTACCCACCAGTAGCAAGGTTTACTTCCATTCGAATTTTAATGTCCTTAGTTGCACATTTTGATCTAGAATTATGTTAGATGGATGTAAAAACCGCTGTCTTAAATGGAAAGCTAAATGAAGAAATTTACATGACACTCATAGAAGGATACATAAGAGAAGGGCAGGAAAACAAAGTATATAAATTGAACAATCCTCTATATAGACTAAAGCAATCGTCTGGGATGTGGTATTATACATTTCATAATTCCATCACAAAACTTGGGTTTATCCCAAATCCATTCGATCAYTRTGTTTACTCWATGAATAGTGGGAGTTCATTTATTATACTCTCCTTATATGTTGATGATATTCTAATAGCTAGTAATAATATATCTATGATAAATGAAACAAAACATTGGTTGAGTATTAATTTTGAAATGAAAGACATGGAAGATGTTAGCTATGTACTTGGAATAAAAATATGAAATATAAAACATTATCTCTTTCACAAGAAAATTATTTACAGACGCTACTTAAAATGTTTAACATGACAAATTGTAATGGAATCGATACTCTATTACAAAGGAACTAAAATGTCTAAGGACATGTCACCTAGAAATGAAAGAGAAGTAAGTTATATGAATAATGTTCCTCAAGACCTGATTTGTTTTATGTTGTTAGTCTTGTTAGTAGATTCCAAAGTAATCTAAGAACTGCACATTGGTCAGCCATTTAAAGAATTTTAAGATATTTACAACAAACCAAGGATTATAGACTAACATACTCTTGTAATCAATTAGAATTGATGGGTTACTATGATGCTGATTTTGCAGGAGACTCGAATGATAGAAAATCTTCCTTCTAGGAGGAGGAGCCATTTCTTGGGCAAGCAAAAAGCAAGGTTGTGTAGCCAAATATATTATAGAAGCTAAGTTCATATCTTGCAGCACAACAACATTGGAAGGAATTTGGATAAAAATATTCTTGGAAAAATTAAAAATACCAGGTGCAACTGAAGGAGCTATCGGAATGTTCAATGATAATGAAGCGGCCATCAAGACGATAAAGAATGGAGAAATTGGTCCAAAAGGAAAGCACATTGACTTGCAATACCGGTATCTCCATAATATCTACCAATGGAATGAGATCCTGGTAGAGCATGGGCCGACAAATGAGATGGTTGTTGATCCATTGACAAAGCACATTGGAGTTAGTGATTTTAAAAGGCACGTGGTGTCAATGGGATTGAGAAGCAACCAAACATCTCGGGCCTAACTGGCCAAGTGGGAGATGTTGGAATGGGTGGTCATAGGCCCTCAATTTGGAATCCTCAACGTATAGGAGAATCCATTGGCCATGTGAAAAGCCACACGTTGATGGAGTAGCTTAATAATATCATCCCTGTGAACACACTACAACGCACACCAATTACAGTTTTTATTATATGTTATTATTTATTTTCTAGTAAAAATAAATTTGTTTTCTATAAACTGTTTTTGACTTGTTCACAAGGTGGTTGTTGGGTCTAAGTTGGATCCATTTCAGCCTTTGACTAAGTCAGCAAGAGAATGTTTGGCTTAAAATGGGCTGAGTGTTCATGTGGTTTAAAACCATGATTGAGACACTTGTCTCAATCCAAAGGGTTAGAACAAGATTAATGTTGGTGAAGTTTATTCTTAGTAACGGATCTTATGTCCTTTTCCATAGGAGAGACGTTGTGGCAATTACCTATAAAAGGGAAAGAGTAGAAGTCTCAAATGCACCACTGAATATTATTTGCATTTTATTTTGTCACTATTCTATTATTGTTTTTCATTGCCAAGGTTCAATATATCGATACACCCTGCCAAGGTTCAAACCTACTGATTATATAACATAAAATCCCAAAAAATAAAGATTATATAGTAATGATATATGAAGATCTTTCTTTTTTCTCTTGTAATTTATTGGAATTCGGATTTCCACCTCTCAGGATTGATCCTCGCAGCCTTACAGCCGCACATTGATAGCATTTGTAGTTGTATGTTTTTATCATTCACGAGAGATGTTCCTAATGCACGTCTGCAAGTGCTGAGTTTTTTAACAGCAGCATTTGATCTCAGGTCTCTGTTACAACGAGTCAAAGATCCTACCTACCAACTGAGCCATCCGTTGGTGAGCAATGATATCCATCAATCCGTTGTGAGATTTTATTCCCGAGTAAATTGTTTAGCCTTTGCATTTGGAAAGGTATTGCATTAAGCTCGTCTATGGGCTTAGATAATTTTGCTTTGTTATTTGTTTTATTTAGGATTGACAAAGCTTTGTTGATTCTGTTAATGATAAAAACAAAACATTATAGGAGTTTCAAGATCAAGGCTTCCTAAGCTCCTAGTGCTATGCATACCACTGAGTATATACAAGAAATAAACAAAACCCTTGCCTAGTTCAAGCATGAATGTTGAAATAAACAGTATAAGATTCATCTCTTAAGCTCACCAATGGTGTCAGCAAGAAATTTCTCCTTTCCCCCTTTGCCATAAAGCTGATGGGATGATACTCAGCCATGCCTCTTTTCGATATAAAGCTTGCTGCTTGCTTGAATCCAACATCGGTAGACTCTGACTGGCAGATAAGTTTAATGCTTGTACTGGCATTATAGTTCACTCCACCATACAAGAAACACCCCTTGTGGCTTTCTGATTCCAACGAAATGGTGTTGGTCTTCCCATCTAATCCTGCAACCACCCGGAACACAGATGACCCCCAGTCATTGTCATCATTTGCCACACCAAGTTTGTTATTTGGTCCTTGGTGCACCACCACCATTCCTGGGAGATCAAATGGTTCTAGCATGACTGACTTGCCAACAGCATCCATTGGTGATGAGAAATCAGAGGAATTCATGTCTTTGGGTACAAGTCTGAAGGTGGCATGAACAGCAGAATCCGTGCCAGACTCTGGCAAATTCCCCATTGTAATTGAATGATTGGAATTTGTGAAGACAAAGGTGGTATCATTGGCTTCCTGGGAAAGAGAGATCAGCTGGGAATTGTATGTGGCTGGAATTGCAGTTATCCAGTCGGAGAGAGAACTTTCTGTTCCTGTTTTGATGTCCCAGTCCCCATGGGTAAGGCCAGCTAGAAGGTAGGGGCCAAAAAGGATTGCCTGAATAGAAGCATACTCAGGTCGGTCATCTGAATTTCATAGAAAAAGGAATGTCAGTTGTATTCAAATACAGAACATGCACCTTCATCTTCTCCTAGCCTTGCATCTAGATAAATGAAAATAGTGGTTAATATAAATGTACAGCAAGAAAGTATGATAGATACACTAGTAAAGAAGGAAATATGGACATAAAGAGTCTACAGTGTGCTACCTTTTATGGCCTCTGTTCTTAAGCCAATGGGAAGTTGCAGAGTCAATTTATCACCATCACTCCATTTCCTATTAACTGACAGAAAATTACCTGCTTGTGGTTGTGGAACATTAGATGATTAAAACATTGCTTTTCTAATATGATAATGAGATCCAAATAAAATATCAGAATTAACATATCAAGGATTAAATAGGAAAATGAATGCAATGTATTATGAGAGAAAAGGAAAGAAAAGATAGTCCCTGCCTGGTACTGGTAGAGGCAAATCCTGTGCATTTAATGTTGCCTTGGCACCGTCCAAATACGTCCAAAGTGGGATCCGCAAATTTAAGATTGAGGATAGGTCTGGCCCCTACATGAAAAAGATGCAAAACGAAACTCAGTTAATGATTGCATAAGCCAACTAAATACTGGAATACTTGTGCAGAGAGAGAGAGAGAGGCAGAACCAATAAAGAAGAATAACAGCTAAATTACAGAAGAAAGAATGTGAAGAAAAATATTAAGTTCCCTTGGTGTTCTTTGTAAGAACAGTTAACCCAATAGCGTCTCAAATCTCAATTGCAATAATTAAAAGGAATAAAAGGAGAAAACTACATCAAATTCCATTGGAGTTCTTCATAGTTGAACACAAATAATTTCTCTTACTGACCCCTTTTTTAGAAACTGCAAATGTCACTCGAAGGTAAGGATCCCACGAAACAACAGGTTCTACTTTTTGATTTAGCACAATTTGTCCAGATTTCCAATCAAGAGAGCTTGATATGAATTGGATGACATATAATACTGCAGTTTTCCCCTCCTCCTCAAAGTATATGGAATCTCCCAACTTTGAGAATGACTCGGTTCCTGGAGAATAAAGGGCAAAGTAGCATCAGTAACCCTTGAAGTCCACTTACATATCAGCAGGTAAGGTGTAGTGATAGCAATCTACTCAAACTTCCTCTGTCAAAACTGAGAAGGCGAAATGGACATTGGAATTCCTTCCTTCTATTTAATAATATGTAATGTCCTAAAAGTTTAGTCCAAGGGATCCAAAATCATTTAGTTCCCTAGAAAGCAAAGTGCACCATCTCTGACCCTGTGTGGAGTAGGTGGAGCATCAGATCTGAAACTTAGGCAATCTACAGGGAATCTTCAACAACGAGCTTTAATGAAAACAAAAGCATGTAGGATGCAGATTATGAACCTGTCCCATAACAACACCAAAAAGTGTCAAACTTTGTTCCCCAACCATGATAAGTTCGGGCTTTGGAAGCCCCAGGTTCCTGAGGTAGCATGTAGATCATCACTCCAGGCTCCCTTCCTCTCTGGATGCTAAGCACACCATTTGTCAAAGCCCTTTCATAATAATCTGCATATGCCATTTCCTTTGTCCATCTAAACAGGTTGCGAGAAATCTACACAAAGAAGCAGAAATGTGCTTACTTTTATACATAAGTTAATGAGACCATGGAGAGATAAATGTAAATGTTACAATATAAGTCAAGATTGAAGACAGAATAGAGGCACCCTGAAGCAACCAATGCAGTTCTCTTGATTCGACTATTAAATTGTAGAGGATTCAAGAGGAAGTTTCACATGCTGTGTGGAACTGTGGATGCATGTTTTTCGATGTTGCAACATCAAAGCAAACTGATCAGACCAAAGTAACATTGTCACAGGGTGCTTATAAGCCAGCCCTGGCTTATAGGACAGACTGTTGGGTTATCAAGAAATAATGTAATATAATGAGCATAACCTATATTGACGATGTTGAAAAGAACAAGTGGCAAAATTAGGAAGAATAAAGTTAGAGATGAATGCATCTGGGGAAACCTTAGATGTATCCCCAATAGGTAACAGAAAGGAAAGTTGTCTCAGTGTAGTCATCTGCAGGAAAGATCAGTGTCTGCACTATCGGAAACTAGTGGCCAGATGCAAGTTAGGAAACCCTAAAAGAATAAGAAGTCTCAAAAGGATGCCAGTTAGCTCAAAAGAATAAGATGCAAGTTACAATGACCAAAAGAATTTTGCATGTGGGAAAGAAAATAGAAAGATAACGTGAATTCATATGTTTCATTTAACAGAGTTAGTATAATGAAGACAAGAGGTAATCCACCATGCAACCTATACTCTTTAGACCTCTGGCATTTCTTAATATCCCAATGGCTCATACCAAGAAACTGCGAGGTGAACACGACATCCTGACTTTCATGCTCTGAGTTCAATGTATGTCTGGTAATATCACATTGTTTACGCTTATGCAAAATAGATCAAATATATATTATGCTTTCAATCAGAAAAATTAAAATAAAATGAATTAGCACACCTTAAGCATGTTGTAGGTCGTGCAGGTCTCTTCATTTTCTTTGCCTAAAGTGGTTGCTAACCGTTTTGGGTCTCTCCTGCACGTAGTAGTGGGAATGATTCATTAAATTGAAAGCACATCTAAATGTTACAACTAATGGTTGCCACTCAATTTCCATCAGAGAACTTAATAGTAGTGCAGGTGGCAGGGAAAATTGTTTAATGAAGGAATTTGTGCTTAAGTGTGCCAACCAGAATTCACTAGCAGATGTCCCCCCTGTTGCGTAAGCATGAGAAGAATTCACAATTTCCATAAAAAATGTACCTATTGCCTGTCACAACAAATTACATAGAACATAAAAATTCAAATGCCATAACAAAAAATGGCCACGAAACTAAAAGGTTGAAAAAGAAAAAAGGAACTTCCATCAGATTCTAACTTTTGGGGAAAAAATACAGTCATAAGTTGAAAATGACTAAAGAAGATGCAGTTAAGTCCCAGTACCAGAAGGAATGAGAAAAACCTCATGGAAGCTCACATGCTTCTCATATGAAAAGACGAGTTAGGAAAGCTAAAACAAGTAAATAGGTCTGTATTACCGAAGTTAATGATATTAAAAGTAGTTAAATGAATGGCAATACCATAGTAATGATGGAACCAAGGATAGCAGTGAGGAATATGTGAATTGATAGCTACCATATAACAGCCTTAAGTACATGGTAACAAATAACAGACTAATGCTGATTATATGGTCTGTATCCAGCAGCTAAGGAAGGATTTAGTGTATATTTGTCTTTTGGTTGCCAGAGAGGCCTCTAACCGCTTGACATCACTCTAGAGACGTCCAGCATTCTCTGAACTGCAAGACTTACTGAACGAAATAAGAAATTTCACATGCAAGATCAACAAATGTTTCTATAGCATGGTCTTAGAACTACCAACTAAGGCTGCATTTGGCATTCCTTATTTTATGGACTTGTCTCCTTTTTGCAGTTAAAATGCTCCATAACACTGAGTTTTTAATTGCAAAAAGGAGATAAATCCTTATTATAAGGAATGCCAATGTAGCCCAAATCATGTTCTGTTGTGGATTGAAAGAGAACTAGCAAAATGGAACCTGTATGACAACGAAAGAGGTATTCAAAAAACATTTAGACAACAAAAAGATAATATGTAAACTACTCTAAGGTCATGTACCTTATAAAGTGGATCGCCAGTCACTTCGTATCGCATCTGAGATCCAATAACAACTGGAATATGTGTATTGGCATGAAAACCAGAAATGCTATCAACCTACAAGAAGCAATGCAGAGTTTCATAAGGTAACAAAATTAAGAAGAAAAACATTGATGGCACAGTAAATAAAAACAGGGCAGACAGCTCCTGGACTGGAAGTGGTTATATTGAAGAAAAAATCCTAATAAACACGATTATATATTGAAAAAATATATTGCATGTTTATCTTTTTAAATTGATTTATTTATTTGCCTTTCCTGTCATTAGGATCAGTTTTTTTGGTTTCTTTTTTTGTTTCGTGTTTTGTTTTTGGCCCCGGGGGGGGGTGAATGTCACATACCACGAAATTTAGTTACTTAAAAGACTAAAAATGCTGCATTGTTGACATCATTTTAAGTGGGAAAAAAACATTGGTACAGGATAGCCCTTCCTATTTGCTAAAAAGGATAAAATAACAACAGGAAACAAGAAAGGCAACAATTATAGTTTTCCTTTATGTGTTCCTCATGAACAGATTATATGGCAAGTCTGTAACACCAAGAAAATATGGTTAATGATCAAATAATTACCTCTACTGCAAGCAGACCTAGAAAGCATGGTTTGTCAAAAAGGTGAGCTAATACTAAATGCTTCTGATCTCCCTGCAGATATTACAAATAAAAAGTTACATTCAAACCCTGGAGCCTACAAGACATTGGGAACAAAGGAAAATATCAGAAAGATAAGTAAACCTACAGTACCAATAAGCCAATAAGAATACTGAATACAATAATATCAATACCTCCCTTATTGTGTCATTTAAGAACCTCGGGTGCAGCATAACATTCCTGAACTATACACTTTCCTCTAAATAGAATTGTCTCTAGTACAAGCTAGTAGAGGTTATTTTTCTAGCAAGCTACTGCAATATGAAAAAGTGACTATGCAATCTTATAACTTTTTACTTGATGATAAATCCTATTAAATCTATAGGTGGAAGAATCCAGCTGTCCGGTGGTTCCCTTATATGATGTAAAAGGCACAAAGCTAGTTAGGAGTCTACAAAACAAGAGAATAATCAAAATGAGACTTCAATGTCAGCATTATATCTATGAAGTTTTCACATGATAAAGTTTCACACAACGAACCTTCAATAACATAATATCCAACTTAATTAATTCATGTAAATTATAATCCCTTCTTCTCCTGTTAATGGTTAAGTCAAAACAGCACAGCTGATAAACTAGTAATGTTGGAAAAAGTGAAAACTCGATACAATTTCCACAGGACTAAGATGCATAAGTTTTACCGTAATGCTGTACAGTTTATAAAGGACATCATTCATGCCACCAGTTTCATCATTCATTGACCTCCAGTGCTGTTCAATAGAGTATTTTGATATGACATTTTGCACACGGTGATAGAAATACTCAGCCATCCAAACCACCATATGTAAAGCTTGATGGTTTTCCCCCAGTGAATATTGATCCAAAAGGCCCGCCATTATCTATGAAAACAAACAAGGCTAAAGCTAAACTTAAAATAATTATGGAAGTCTTCCAAATCATTGACAAAAAACTCAAATAATAATATTACATCAAGCAAAGTTGGCTCTACCTTGTGAATGGTGTAGTATGGTGCCCACACTGGTTGCAGAGATTCAAGACGATCAAATAGCTCAGTTGGAAAAGCCGAAAGGTAGCCAGTGCCCATTTTCTTCTGACAAGCATCAAGTGCAGAAACCACCATAGACATTTTCTTGTAGAGAGTATCATTGTGAGTACTAGCCCACATTTGCGCTGAAGCACTCATGTAATGTCCTTCAAGGTTAAGAAAGTAAATTATATACACCATGTACAATGACCTTCAAAAAACACAAAGGAAGCATAAAATTTTTTCCATTAAGTTGATAGCTGTGTCAAAGCTCATGCCTAAGTCTCAAATAGCAACAGTTTAGGCCAGTCCAACCAATTTTATATCCTATTCTGCTTTTAGGTGATTTCCGGAAATCTACTTAAGGACTCAATAGAAGAATGAAAGAGAAAAAAGAAGGGGGTCATAAAGAACCCCTAAGTAAGCCAATTCAAAACCTCACCACTTCAAATTTCAAAAGGTTAGAAATAAGTCTTAACCTACCCAATCCACCTCCCCCCCCCCTGCTTAACCATACACAACCCATTTGATACTCATATCAATTTTGTTTGGTTATTTGCTTGCTCCAAACCTGTTTAAATGACTTGGATTCTCTAAAGTTAAAGCCTATAATACCTAACCCAAATAATAATAAGATAAGATTTTAGTTAGGCCACTCTCTTTCCTTCCCCTTTTTATGTATTGAAGTTGAATGCTTTCCTCCCCCCCGCCTTCATCCCATTTTGCCAGACTAGTTAAGGCTTACAGTTAGATATACTATACTGGAGGTGCAATGAGAATAGTTCCTTTGCATCTAAGAAAAGCATTTGCAGTCATTTGATAACATCCGAAATGGCTGATTCCTTTAGTTAAGAAGTTTTTAAGGAGGTTATGAGCTTCTTAATGACCGAAGCTGAAGTTTGGTTGATTACTATACCCTCAAATATTGTATCCACTTAAAAGCAAAACAATAAGTCAATCAGTTCGGCCAGTTCATCCATTATCAAACAGCCCCTATGATGAAGAAAGCTAATAGAGTAGAAATTAAGGAAATTCCAGTTGTTAATAATGATCATATGAAGTTATAGTAGTACTTCAATCTATCTTATAGGATCATAATTCCACTGATTGTGGGTAGAACATTTAAAGAAATCCAGCTAGCATAATAAAACAATAAATTGATGGTAAACAATGTGGACCCATAATTGATGGGAGCAGAAACGTCAGTATGGAAATCCAAGGCTTTTGCTTTGGGAAAAGAAAAGAGTTTATTGGAGATCAAGAGTAACCAATTTAAGTAAGAGTAGTCGGTGAATTAAGAAAAATTCATTATACAATTGCACTGAACTCTGTTGGGGAAAAAACAGCTGGCATGTTCAAGACAAACGATGAAACTTAGAGGTTAGAATTGGATATGGCCTGGCTTGTCAATGGAAAGATTTCCAGGGATAAGCATTTTCTTCTCCCCTTGGAAAATGGGATTGATTTCTTTATCTTGGACTAAGATGAGCAGTTGAAAACAGTCAAGATGTTCTTGTCTTGGACTAAGATGAGCACTCTGCAGCCAAATGCAGGTTAATGCGATAAAGATGGATGAGGATTAGTAACACCCAGAATTCGAATTATTCACAAGTAAAAGGGGGTGGCAGGTACATGTGGCAATGTAAGCATCCTGGTTTGTGATAAAACGTTAGATGAATGCATCAACGATCATGGAAGCTTACTTCACCATTCTACTACCATTGTCACAATCTATTAGGCTCAAAAAGATCTACATCAAACAATAGAAACCATGAAGCAATCAGTTGTAGAAAATGAAGCAGAAAGTAAGAAAGGCTAAAGGACTAAACCAACCTACAAAATGACCCCGAAGCTCTACGTCTGCAGCCTCCCATCCTCCGTAGGGTGTCCCTGGTGTCGCCAAGCCTGCTGTCTTTCTGAAGCTCCAAACTAATCTATCAACGTCCAACATCAACAAGTACTCCAAGTTCGTCTGCTGTGCCTGCCCATGCATTGAATCTGGGTCCAATGTCACGTCGTGCAATGATAATTCCTTGAGGAAATTCCGTCCCCTATGGCCAATTTTACCCTCCGCCGTGTGCTTTCTCCGATACATCATCGCCCATCTTAACTCCTCCTCCGCTCTCAACATCTTCCGAGGAAGCAGATTCATCCATGCAGAATCATCAGTTGGGGTCAAATGGTAGTGGGAGTGGGAATACACCTCATTTTTCCATGTTTCGTTCTTCGACGATAAGAGTTCATACCGTAAAGTGTGGGACGAGAGTTCATTCAGAGTGTTCGTGCAGTACTTCCCAGCAACAGAACCAGGAATAAAGAACCCAGAAGCCATTAGCATGAAAAACACAGAGAACACCGAGCTCTCCATTTCTTTATCCAGAAACCCAATAGAACAACCCCTAATTTCCACTAAATTCAGCACCTACAATGTAAAAATCACTCACCCACCAAAAAAACACACATTTTTCTCTAGAACTCAACTGACACAAAGAAGCAAAAGCTTAGCTTGTTGTTCAATTACAACAAGAACTGCTCAGTGTCCTATTTATAGAATCTAATCAAGTAAGAACTAAGAATCACGAAAGTGAAGTTAAACTAAGCAATCTCGTGAAAGTTAAGAATGACGTCGTGTAAAATAAAAGCAAAAGAACTCAGAGAAAGGTTAACATAGAAACCCGAGTTAGAGACAAATTTGGAGTCAGGGAGGGTGGATTTATAGAGTGACTGATACAGGTTAAGGACTAAGAACGTCAGATAGAATTCACGTATTCCTCATTTCCATGTCGTTTTCTTCGTTTTGACCGAGTCCAGAACTTTTTCGCCTATTTTCGCTCCTTTAAAGAGGAAACGGTTCTGCTCACGGTGGATGCTAAAGCCACCTCTTATCCGAAAGTAGAAAAAAATTTCAGAAACAAGGAAGCATGGCCTTGTCATCCACTAGTCACCATTGACCAACAACTTAGGTCAGCTTTTCTGGTGTTTTTCAAACTCAATGGAATCCTTTTCCGTTACTGACTGCACGGCGAAACGTCGGATCGCCGTTTGGATTTTTTATCCATGAAGATCATTGGAACTGTTTTCCCCCCCCTCAAAATTCGTCCTACGAAAGCGAAATTGATTCTTTGGAGCTCAAATAGAAAATTTATTTTTTCAAGTATTGATTGTTTGATCTTCAAATTTTTTTTTAAAAAAGCCTTTAAAGAGTACAATCACATATAGTGATCTAGTCCATGATTTGTCTATTTGGATAAACATCAAAAAACATGTAGGCGTTTTCTTCGGCATTCAGCTTATGCTAGACGGGAGACTCTGACCGAATCCGTTTGGGAAAGTTCAAATTCTGGTTAACGGCCCAATTTATTGAAATGCAATATTGAAAGGTGAGGTGAAAGATAGTTTATGGAATCTTATCTTATATATATATATGTATGGAAGCTTACCGTAGCTCCACTGTATCTTGAATGATGTTGCATGATATATAACACGTGTTCATACTATTTAAATGCATGACGGACACTTATCATTCTCCATGCTTCTTTGTCTGGCTCTTACCATCTCGGCTTCAGTTTTGTTCTTTATTGGTCTCGTCTTGTTCCTGTTTTATCTCTGGTACTCCCTCGTTGACC